TTATTGAGTCAGTTTTATCTTTTTCTATTCGGTTTATATCTGGATTGCATAGAGTTATTGAATACAAAGCCGTAAGTTAATATCTGTATAATATTTTCAGATAAAAGTCTTGTCTTGTATTTTCTGAAATTCACATGAAAATGTTCGTTTGAGTGGCATATCTCGAAAACTAATACTTTTATTTGTTTTGTGCAAATGAAGTAAGAAAACAAGAAAGTTAAGATAACATTTGTATGTTTTTTTATTATTCGAAAGCTGTGGGTTATCAAGTCACAAACTAACTAACAGCTGCTTGTATAATTCATTCATTATATTGATGCTATTGTTTATGATTCTTAATAAAGAAATATTTTAGATAAATAATCTATTCATAATATAAATTAAAAATATTTATGTTATGCTCTTCGAAAGATGTAGGATATCAAGACAAAAGTTAACTAACTGCTACTTTTGTATTCATTCGTTATATTGGCGTTGCTGTTAATGTTTCGTAATACAGAAATATTTTAGAAATATAATAAGAAATATTTTTTCAATAATATTTAAGATAAATAATGTAATAAAAATATAAGTTTATAATATATTACTTCCAAAAATTTTCTGTTATTGTCTAAATGCGTGCTTTTATAAAAATATAGTATATGTCTTAAATATAGACCAACAAAGTGGAAGAATGGTACCCTGTCATATTATGTATGTAAAGACAAATCTATAGAAGTTAAAAAAACTAAATTAATTATTATATCATTAATCTCACTTAGGTTCTAAAAATCTAAGAATAATTAAGAATATGAAAATTATCTAGATTTTCCTTAAACTCAATCGAAATAAATTAAATATATTATAAAAATACAGTAGAAACCAATATATTTTACCTTTCTTTTGCATAATAAATCCCTTCTTGAAATTAGTTTTATTTTCTCTGAAGGTTCCAATTCATTTGAACTATTACTTTATTGAACCAAAAGGATACCGTTATATGTATGTAATAATTTACCTATATCTGTATATTTTTTTCTATGTGCTTAAAACTTAAGCTTCTGGAGCTCTATCACTGTCACGACCTCATAACCATATCATGGTGTCAGAAATTAAAAAGAAAAGAAATTAATATAAAATAAGCAGTATTTTTGAGAAGAAAATGTATCAGATTAAAATTTTCCGTTCTATACATACATGATCATGTATTTCGAACGATTTTTGGTATTTTGTACATTTTTTGCAAAAAAAGTAAGAAGTGAGGGTCATAAAAGGAGTTTGATATGCTTATTTATAAGAAAACCCAAAAATGTAAACTAAATTACATTTACTCCACAGAGTCTTGTTTCCACAGAGTCTATTTCCTTCTGAAAGAAGCTAGAGCGTCAATGTGCTATAGAATTCTATAGGATTCCGTTTTGAGCAGCTATGTTATACCACTTATTTAAACTTTGTTACCGACATTTCCCGTTCAGGCATATTTTGTATGCTCTCACTATCTTAATACTTTTTAAAGTCATTTCAACGACAAAGGACCCTCTGATGTCGTCTTAGATTTCTCTTTACGTTAAGTTACCCCAGCGCCATTTTGTGCTTTCTATTTTTTTTTTATGTGAACTTTTTACCAGTTAGTTAGTAAAGTTCCTGACAACTTTCCAAATCAAGACAGTGAATTTTGGAAATAATGTAGAGTTTTCTCTTTACTCACTAAATACGTTTCAAGTTTTGCACCTACCTAGTATAATGGATTTGACTTTAGAATTTGGCAGATGTGGAATGCTTTTTTTTTAGAAAGCTAATATTATTAAATGTTGTAAGAAGATATTATATGCGAAGCGAACAAAAAATCGAGACTCCGTATTATTCCAATTCTTTACTCAAAGACTTTTCACATGACGACATCTTAAACTAATTGGTAATCCGGCTGTAACATAATGCAAGATTGTTACTTTCGGATTGTCATATAATGATTTCAGACTATTAATCGGTAAGTATGAAATATCTAATAATTTATATTAACTTCACTTTATGCCTTTACGTTTCTAGCAAGAAATGTGGTAGCAAAATGGCAATAAATCGCTAATTGATGTTAACGAATGTCAACGGATGACCTGTCGTTGCACTCAACCAACCATATAATAATTTAGAAAATATTATTTTGTTATTAGTACACATTTCACCTAATCTTCTCCAAACGTCATAATAACTTGTCGCAAAACTGCAACTAAAAAACAAACGTGTCTTTTCGCATCATGTTTCTGAACCAGACAGCTAGAAAGTTTGTTTCATTTAATTTAGTTTAGAAAAATTATAGTGTGAGTATAATACGATTTTCAAACATAATAATAATATGAAAAAGATTTATAAATTGATCCATACAAATATGCATTTATTAATAAATGCTATAATCTATAATGTATAAAAAATTTATAAAAAATAGAGAAAAATAACTGAAAATGGCTAACCTGTCACATACTATCCTATATAGCTATAATCCTTCAATTTCCTTAGGATTATACTAATATTTAAACTCTATTCAAGCAATAAAATACAAATAAATACAAAAAAGATTTCATTAAATTTGTATTTTTATATCACCTTTACCATAGTTGGATCCCTTTTAAGACACTTACAAAGCCCCAAGTTTACAATTTAGATGAACAGATGCCAGTAAAAATAAAGCAAAAAACAAAAAAAAAAAACAAGACCGACAAATAAGTAGTCATCTTTGAACACTCACACACACATAAAAAGTGACAGTAAAATTCAAGGTACACGTGGGAGACATTATCTTAAATGCACCCAGGCGAGTGTTTCGAAGATGCGAAGTGTGCGAAATACGAAATATATTCCGTCTGCACTTTTATGGGTGTTTTTCAACCGTTGTGTGGTCTTTTGGGCTCGTGTTTTTATTAAAATAAATGTTTTAAGCCTAAAATGCTAAAATATAGTTACTACATACATTCTCTCACATTACAACTAACACTTTCAACCACAATCGCAACACATTTCATTATTACTTGTCAGAAGGCAACTAAAATGTGTTTATTATAATGAAGCATACATTAACATGAAATCATCCGCATTCACATATGAAAAGCAGCACGTGTTCGAATATATACCCACATACATTTAGGCTCATAAATGGGGAAAATAAAATTGCCTAAATGTTTTTACATTGCTTTGAATGCCAAAGGATTATTCAATTATATTCCAAAAAAAAAAACAAAAAAAAAAACAGAAAGGAATATCTTCCTTTGTTTAAGCTTTATTAAGGTAGCCTTTGTTGTCCTTTTCCGTTTCCGTACGCACTAAATTGACTTGCCTTTGTATCGTATCTGTGCAATGATTTCATAAAAGTGCCTGCGTTAATTTGTTCAGATATGTAATGGCGTTGATTTCCAGATTTTGGTATGTAGTTCCAGATTGCCAAAAAAGCGCGGCCATATACGTTATGCGTGCTATTGGGATTTGTATTAAACAATTTTTTTCCTTCTTTTATTGTTTACAAATATCTTTCTATTGCTCGAAAAACTTTTATTCTTTTGTTGGACTAGAATTTATCAACACAAAGCAAAAAATTTGTAGATGTATTAATCTAAAGTCAAAACTAGAGATACAACAGTAGTATAATTTGTGAATGAATTTAATGCAAAACTATATTTATTTACTTTCAAAATTATAATTATATTTACCAAAATATTCTTAGAAGACCGTAATAAATATATTATGGGACGTTGGGACAGCGCACCGTCCAACAAATGGCCCCACTGAAATGTAGAATAAGCCGAAGTAGACCAAGAAACGACTTGGGTCCTTTCTCGTTCTTCCATTCTCAGATGTCGTTATTGAGTTAAAACTCAATAGTGGCTTTCATTTGCATAATTACATCGCTTGTCAATGCAAGCAGCTCATTTAGCTTGAGGTTTCAAGCCCAATCATCACCAACCCAAAGGTGTCCCAAGATAGTCTTCCTTCTGCTTGCCAATGCTGGACATTGGCACAATATATGCACCGAGGTCTTCTTTTTTTCTAAACATAGCCTGTAACTCTTCTTCAACAATAGAAATCTTTTTAAGATTTATATGAAATATATCAAATTTCCATGTCCCGTAATCAATGAGGTCAGCCAGCTTAGGGTGCGAATAGCTAAGCACTTTTATCGCTTCCCTGGCCAACGGTTGCGGTATCATGAGTTTAGTCTGTCTACAAGTGCTCATCTCTCTTCATCTATTAAGATGAAATAAAGTTATCCATTTATCGACATAGGCTGCATTCATGTTGTAGCCCAATGGTGTTCTGGGCTCTGGGCCGCAGAAATTATGCCTTGATCATTGCTTTGCAAATTTATATGACTCTTTGCTCAATATGACCCTTAATAAAACCCATATAACCCAGTGTTTTAGAATTAAAATTAATCCAAAACATGCTTTAAGAATTCATAAGGCAATAACACGTTCACACAGTCCTATTATAGTACTTATTTATTTTTTTTCCAAGGCATGAAATTAATTCAAGCTTAATCAGTGTAATGAATAAAAATTAAATTAACACAAACAAAACAACAACAAAAACAGCAATTGTAACAATATGTGGCCAACAACTAATTAAATTTACTTATCTGTTAGCCATTAATTTCGTATGCCAATTAATTATTGCTCATACGCAGTGTTGTGCGAGAAATAAAGATAAACAATATCTTTGTGCGTGAGATACATAAAAGTTTTTCGTAATTTTTCTTTACTGACTTTTGACATTAATTTGTGTTGTTTGATTATGTGTATGGACATAAATTTAAGATAACTCAAACAAAAATTATAAGGAGATTGGTGCTAATACACAACACATTTAATGTTGCATTTAATTTATCATTTACAATTTTCATTATCCTTATAACTACAACCCAAACTAGATTTAGTATTATATTAATTCAAAAGCTATTGTTGCATAAAGTTTTGACTATATCAACTATTATTATTTAAATGTGTATCATTCTTCTTTATCTTCTTCTTTTCTTATAGGCAGCACATCGAATCCCGATGCTAAGCGCCTTTACGACGATCTTCTCAGCAACTATAACAAATTGGTTCGTCCCGTTGTCAATGTGACAGACGCTCTGACAGTACGCATCAAGCTGAAACTATCGCAATTGATTGATGTCAATTTAAAGAATCAAATCATGACAACCAATTTGTGGGTGGAGCAAACCTGGTATGATTACAAACTCAAGTGGGAACCTAAAGAATATGGTGGCGTCGAAATGTTACATGTACCCTCTGATCATATATGGCGACCGGATATTGTGTTGTATAATAAGTAAGTATGCTATGGCAAAACTCAAACAAATTGAAATAGTTAAATGAAAGCTGTGGTAGATTAATTCTATTGCACAAATCAGAAGATACAGTAAAAAGGATGTCAATAAATTGATTTATTCAAGTTCAATCTCTTTTATGCTTTTATTGTTTCGACTATTAGATGTTTCAATATTTTCTTATTTAACTCATGCCGCATGTATATAGAAGAAATAGTAAACGAAATTCAAATATTACTTATATAAATCAGTTTGTATTTGTATATTGATAATGAATTAAGAGCATTATTGAATTTCAATTGAACATTTTAATATTTGTGTCATTTACAACCTTTTCACGTTCATGAACTGTGATTAACTGTGACTGTGATTAGTATTTTACATTTTACCCATTTAAAATCTTTTATATAATGGAAATTTTACTAACAAATAAATTCATGAATCAGAAGATAGAATGTGGTTATCAAACCTTCAACTCTTGAATTGATACGCAATTATATGGACATAAAAAGGAGGTCATGTGTTTTAGTCCTTGACATAATAAAATTATGTGTTTTCTATGTAAATAGTCAAATAGAATATTAACGTTATTAGTAATAAATTTTTTTTTTGAAACTTTCTGAGTTTACAAAAATATATAAGAATGTGAAACTTAATTGATTACAGATTTAAATAGAAACATACTCTGTCCTTTAGTGTAACATAATGATACTAATTCATCTTTATTCAATACTACTCAAACAGTATGTTAAAATAAAATATAAATTTTCAATTAATTTGATACCACCACAAATCTTTGTAACAATACACGAACACACACAAACATATACAAACATTCTATAATAAGAATGACCCTATATATTTATATAGTTCAGATTTAATCAATTTAGCTACCTATAAGCTACACATTAACCTATTGGTCCCTAAAGATGATGGAACATAAAGTCAAAAAATCTTTTATAACAATATTCGAACACATACATACTGTAAGACGAATGACCTAATATATTTATATAGTTTAAATTTGATCAATTTAACTAACTTTAAGTCACACATAAACCTATTGGTCCCTTATGATGATGGCAGATAAGGTTAAAAAATCATGTAAGCTTCCCTTATGATAATAATGCTTTGTTGTGTGTCTAACGACTGCTTGAAAATCTATTTCCAAGAGATTTAAACACTGATCCATGCACTGAGCTACTAAGGCGAATAAAGGCGCTTTATTTATGTATCGAAATAAAAATCATTACAAGAAATATCGCCCAATAGGTAAAGATATCTCCTCATAGAATTGAGAACTTATTTCAATGAAACTAGTAGGTTTTTTATGAAAGAGTATGAGAGCTTAAAACACATTCAGGTAGTTTTCCTGGCACTAAATCATAACCGGAAGAAGTTCATAGGTAGTCATCTTATATCGGAGGACAATATAAAGGTTTGCAATAAAGGTTCAATAGTACAATGTATTGGGACAGTTGGGATTTAATAAATATATTTAATCTATGAAGGTAGCACAAAGCGTCTTTAAAATAACAATAATAGTAACAATAATCGACTTAATTGTTATACACAACCCAAATATTTTTTCTCGCCTCATCTCATCTATTTCTCATACCTCATACTAGTCGTTTGCATTATACTATATATTTTATACTATAAACTATATATTATTAATAAATTAATGAGTTCAGAAAAATCCAATATATAATCTGATTCAAGATCATTTTTTATTTAATTTTTCACCAAACCAAATATTATACGTAGTTTTTATTAGCCAAGTTTCAGATTTATTTGTGAGACTATTGTCTCACTATCTGACTATTGTATTATATCTGCTAAGACTATTGTTCTAAACAGTAGTAGATTTTATGTTATAATAAGGTTCCTGGACTTAAATAACCTAGACAGACTGCAGACCCTGTTGGATCCAATATACGTCCCACTTAGATATATATGCTGTATATTTGCTATTCGAGAATAATTTTATTATAATTTTTATATAATAATTTATATTATAATTTTTTATAATTACACTTATTGAAATATTTTCAAATATAGTGTTAGAAAATATGTAGTTTCATCGTTCTTGTAAAACATGTCGATAACATACATTTGAAAAATAATTTTTTTTCAAATCATATAATTTTAAGTTTAATTAAATTTTAATTAAACTCAAGTTCAATAAGGTTTTTTTGTATTGCAAATATTTATTTATTTGTTTTTTTTTCTGCTTTTAGCGCCGATGGCAACTTCGAAGTAACTTTAGCAACAAAAGCTACTCTCAACTATACCGGAAGAGTTGAGTGGCGCCCACCAGCAATATACAAAAGCTCCTGCGAAATTGATGTAGAATATTTTCCATTTGATGAACAAACATGCGTTATGAAGTTTGGTAGTTGGACTTATGATGGTTTCCAGGTTAGTCATTATTTTTGTAATAAAGCTAATAAACATTTTTATAGAAAAGCACTAATCTTTACCGTAACTGTGCGGTGTAAGTTCAACACTAAATCAAATAAACCAATTAAATTTACTTATTACCACATATATTCACTACATTGCACTAAGTTCTAACATAAAAATTTTATTAACTCTTTTAAGTCTTTAAGTAAGTAATAAACTTATTTCGACACTGTCATTTAACATATTACAATTTATACTCACATAAGGACTATAAATATAAAAGCGAGTAGACTTACCTCAAACATAATCCTTTCCTTCCTTCCTGTCTTGGTGGTTCTATGTTATTATTTTTTTTTGCCTTTTGCTGCCTTTTTATTATCAATAAAAATAAAATTCTCTCATAATTTGACTGGTAATAATTTTAACATTTTACATTTGCTTTTGTAATAAATGACAACCTTCGAAGGAAGCACAAAAAGTAAAGCACAGAAAACAAGAAATGAGAAATGAAATGGCCTATAAAAATGTCTCGATGGATTTTATCCTTTCAAGAAAATTTGTTACCAGCTCGGAATACATTGAAAAGCTGCTTTTACAGGAAAGATCAAAGGAAAAGTGCCATAAAATTGAGATTGGCGCGACATGTGAGGTCAGAATATGTACATATGAGATACAACCTTAGACAGAATTCCGTATAAGACTATTTAAATGAAAATGCTTCACTTATATAATATTTTTGGTGTAAGGAACGAGTTCTTGTCTGCTTATATGGAGAAAACTAAATTATGTTGAAATTCTTCAGGGAAATCTAGAGAAAAAATGTTCTGAGAAAGACGAAACAATTTTTATAACTTCACTTAGAATGTGCTGCTTGTAAAGTTCAATGACTGTGCTGATTTGCTACATAAGGACATGTAATTTAAAACACATTAAATTTGTTTTGTTTGTCTTGCTTTCAATAGATATTTAGTGCAGACCAACAAACTCATTTTTTTGGTTTTTTGTTGCTTTAATACAACACATAACAATATTGCTAATACCAGTAAAATAAACTGTAATATAAGTTTAGCTTAGCAACATACATTTTGTATTTAAGTCTATATAGATTATGTCAAATATTTAGTTAACCACAAACACAACAGCTTCCCAAAACCTTAAAATTGTATGTACCTCATGTCGTATGAGTAACAAAAATTTTTTGCTACTTTTATGAAATGAAAGCAACAAATTTCCTTTCCTAAACTTATAAAAGCAATTTTATTTCTACAGTCTTCGAGCTTAACGTGAACACAAAAATATTTTAAATTAAATAATATACTAACATTGTTACTTTAATATCAACTTTACTTAGAGCAAAAATACTTTATAATGTTACCACAGTCCTTGAGCACTTCATCCGCTTAACCATAACGAAACAGTTTCCACTACATCAACTATTTTCTTTAACAATTTCAACGAGTTATTAGATTTTCAGCAGAAATAAGACAACTGTAATAACATTTGCAATCCACTTCAAGACCAAACACCTCAAAGGATACGCTTTTCAACGCTTGCCAATTTCAATGTTACGAGCGCCATATAACCATTTTATCTGTTTGTCTTACTTGTTTAAATATGAAATCCCGATTTGGGACTCTCGTCAAACTGCCGATAGTGGATTTTATGTGCGCCTCATGTAAGGTTACATGTTCCGCACACAAACATGACGGTTACATCAATTCCAACTGGTTAAGGTTAAACAAAGAGCCAAACATATTCGTTGAATTGTGAATATTTTGTTTAACAATATGTGAAATTAAATGAAATTCGATTATATTCAGTTTGTTTTATTACGAAGTGTATATTCTCTATTTGGATAGCTCGAAATAACACAATAGACTGCGCTCGTGCCAGTGCCAGGACTATCATATGCAAAGTAGTTAAATTGTGTAAAAATGGTAATTGAATTCCAACAAATACTGTATTGCTAAATTCACATGCTGCATGCTGGTACATGGATACATGCAAAATAAAATAAGGATAATAAAAATTTTTTAAATGAGATTGCAATTTGCATATCCTGTGTGGGTATGTCCTTATGTGCAACGTTTCGAAAGAATGATATGTGTTAGCCAAAATTTAATTAAAACAATGTTAAAGCGATTTAATTAATTTCTTTCAACTGCTAATGTAATAAAAGTAATTAATATATATAAAACATTCCAATTGTTTTTATTTAAGAAAAACAATATTCAATGGATAGTGGTCCTTTTGTTATTGTTAATAAAATTAAGAGGTAATTTTTGTGAAATGTAGCTCTTTTACTGAAACTTAACCGAAAACCACGAAAATTAAAATGGAAACTTACATTTTCTTTGTTATTCCGTTTTTAATTATACTTTTGCAGTTTTAAATATAATTAAATTAAAGTTACTATAACATCTAACTTAAATAAAAATTTACAAATTAAATAAAAAAAAGTACAATGTTTCTTAAAAGTCAATTTTAAAGCCCCTTTATATATAAATAAAAAAAACCCGTGCATATATGCACTTGCTGAGACTCTATTCACACTTAAGGATTATTATTTTAAAATATTTAAAAATTCATGGAGTTTTATTTTCTCATAATTTTATATTATTTTCGTATTAAAAGTACATCCCCTTTTTTTGCCACAACCAAGAGAAATAATTTCGGATTCTTTATGCACTGCTTCAGTAATGTTAAAATACTCAAGCCAAATATAGTAAACCTTAGGTATATCTTAGTAAATCCAAATTTTTGAACATATAAAAATAGAAAAGATATTTAGATTCAAATATTAATATGACTTGTGCTGATATAAAAACTGATTAATATAATTATAATCAGCAAAGATATCGTATCCATTCTGCTACAAATGGATACGATATCTAATAATAATATGATATCGAATCATCTAAATTACAGTATTAATACTGATTTTTTCTGCCATAATAAATAGGCTCCTATTAAAATAATTATTTGAGAACATTATATATTCCTTTCTAATGACATATTTTAAGTTTTTCTATTTGATTTAATATGTACAGTTGTTGAAATTATTCCTTAGAATTGATCGTAATAGGTGTAGTAAAAAGAAATCCATAATTTTTGCATGAAATTAAAAGCTGATTTACCGTAACCTTCATAGAATGGTCCGATTTAGGTCAAATATTTGCCTTTTTGCTTAATAAATTGTTGCCATTTTGAAGGTGATTTCATTATACCTCTCTCGTTAAAGTCTTTCTTCATATTGCCAAAAAAATTGAGACAATCGATTTTCACAAGCCTCTCTTGAAGCGAATTTTTAACCAGAAATATCCTAATCACTTAGTGCCAGGTCTGGACTATAAAATGGATGTATAAAAACTTCCCAACCAAGACCCTGGAACTTTTGGCGAGTCATTATCGATGTGAGGGCTTGGTGTTGTCCTGATAGAACACAATTCCTCTTCCATTGCTCGTAGTAGATGATCCAATCCCAACAAACACAACAATAACTTTCTGGCTTGGCCACCGTTTCAGGTCTTGGAATTATTTCTCATATTTAATTATTCGTAAATAATTTTTTTGAGACTGCAAGTGCCAAAGGTTGAACTCGTGAATACACGAGTATACTATATAATTAATATAAGTATATTTATATTGGTGTCGACTTAATTACTTATTTGTGTTTAATTTTAACATATTTTTTAGATTTTTATATAATATAACATAAAAAGGAAATTTAAGATTAAATAAAGTACCAAGGGTTGAATTCGTGTCCTGCCAAATTTAAAACTCAGAGTCAGTGTTCATTAACCAACTGACCCAAAGCCGTATTTGAGTTGTATGTTTGCACTTCGGAGTTTTGTTAATTTGCTGTGAATATTCATTACTTGTTGTGGCTTATTAGAACGAATTCATAAACCAGATATTGAATAATTCATGCTCACGTTCATGTTAAAATCTTTTTGAGTTAGTGCATCTGTACACTTTTACTCTTTGATAGCTGAGGAGTTTTTGCAAAGACCCAACCTTCCGACTGACTAATGTATGTATTCCTCAAAAGCTTCGTTATTATTCAATGACTGATCTAAGATCTGCTTACCGCTCCGTGTGGCTAGAGGTTATTCTAAGATTAGATAGTGCTAAGTAGGGCAGCCTGTCGTTTTAGGGCTCTGTCCCTTATGTATTTTTTGACCGAGGTTATTCTAAGGGTTATTCTTACTATGTCATTTGTTCGGATGTACAAAGGCACTTTAAAGAGTCTTCGGAGAGCCTAACTTTGAGCAACTTGCAACTTCTGGATAGCAGAGTTGAATTAATTAATTTATTTTTAATTGTTAAACTTCTGTATGTTCACATATTTATTTTATATATTCTTCAAAGCATAATTACGTTCAATATTTGCCGTGTCAGTTGTTAATGAGTTAACTATTATTACTTGTTATTTAGAATTGTTATTCCAGACATATTGAAATTGTGTATACGTTAATAGCATTCCGAAAAATTAACAAATAAATCAGATTTTTACTTTATTAGATACTAGATGCCAAGGCCATATTTTTATATACACGTAGGCTATTATTTTTAGTCTTTGCTGATATAAAACAACGTGACATGAAAAATCACAAGTTAAAGAAACAATAAACATTAAATTATCTAAAGAAAATATTAACTTTTTCTCCTTTTGAGCCGGATATGAAAATCATTAAAACTTCAAGAAATTTATAAATTCATTTTTAATGATGTCCGGTGCAAATTTTTCTTAAGACCAAAAAAACTAATTCAAAAATATGACTTTGCTTTTCCTTAGAACTGTTATATCATTTATAATTTTGCTTAAGACTTTTCACTTTTCATTATTAGAGGAATTTTCTTTTGATAAATGTTGGCCAAATAAGTCGAGGCGTCACAATTTATGGCTTTTATATTTGCCAAAGTAAGTCAGGAATGGCTTATAATTTTTCTTTTGTTGTGGGCCATAAAGCAAAGTAGAACGAAAGTCTGCAGAGTACAAAATGAAGAAAATTGCTTTTTATTTACGCGTAATTTAAAATTGGTATGAAAAAAAAGCTATGACCAGCAATTGGGTCATTTTCTTCCTACTCAACTAAAACTGTAGAAACTGTAGAAACTGTTGAATAACAAAATTTATATTAATTTCCTTTATTAAAATAGCAGAGCAATCTCTTTTTTTTTCGTTTTTTTTGCAAATATAAAATGAAATTTTATTAAGCACCTTAAAGGAATACGTGCAAATAGCGTCTGCCGTCATTTAAAGAGCAAATCAAATTTTACAGCAGTTTTTATGTAGACACGACCACTTTCACTTCAGCACTTGTCCGTACAAATTTTGTAATAAATTTTATAACAAATTCATTGATTCATTGAAAATTTACCATCTACCATTTTACAATTTTACCATTTACCATTGAAGAGCGATGGTTTATTCCACTCGTCTAAATAAAAATGATTGCAAATGATTGCGATTTCCCACCAGCGCACATTCAATAAAAAAATTGAAGGAAAACTGTGAAAAAAATTTTAAAAAAAATTATAAAAAATCTGTGTTGTCTGTCTGTTCATCAATTAAGTGATATTGAAAAAAATTTATTTATTTTGTAAAGAAAAATGCAAATAATTTATTTGTATACATTTTGACTTAAATTAGTTAAGCAAACAATTTTCACAAAAAGTCTTTTAAATTTTAATAACATTTTTTTATGCATTCAAATTCTTCCATGTCAATATATGTTTTTCACAATTGAGCTGCTGCTTCTTCTTCCTTCATTTAAATAATTTTGTCCATTGCCACCATTTCCACCATTCCATCGAAAACATTTGGAAACTTTGAAAAGGTGTCAAGTTTCTTACTATCCATTCTCTATGGCATTATTCATTCAGTGATGCCTTCAAACCGATAATGTTTTAGCTTTTAGTTTCAGTTGTGCATTATTATTATTTTTTTTATATTATTGTCATTTCTTGTCGAACTATTTTCGAATTTATCCATTTGCATTTGTCAAAGTGGCATGGCACTAGGGACAAATGTCACTTGCACCCCTGCCAAACGAAATCCATTGTATATCCTTGACAACACTGTGAAGGTGTGTCGACAAACTTTAATGTACTAATACAAATACTGTCACTTTTTTGTTAAGGATATATTTTAAATTCTGCTCCTACTAGTGCAACTGCTGCTGGATCCACTGCTGCAACGCTGTGATGTGGAGTCCATTTACAAAGTTAATGTTGACATGTCGTGTTGATACATATCAGTGTGCAAGTGAAATTAATTTCGAAAAATTTCAAAACGAAACATTTTTTTATATTAACAGAAGAATGCTTTTTATTGGACAAAAAGTCCTTACAAATGTCACTGATGAATAGAGTAGAGAAAACGAAGAATACTAAATTTTATAAAAATTAAGAAAAAGTTCTGAATCAAAAAAACTGTAAGTAAATCTTTAAAAAAGAAAAATATATTGTAATTTTAACGATTTTATAGTCAAAGAATCAATATTCGGGGGAGTTGCTTTCTTAGATCAAAGATTTTAAGACTTTTATCAACGAAAAAAAGGAGTATATTAAAGTGGAAACTTTCACAGTGACTTTCAAACTGTAAAGCAAACTAAAAATATGAAATACCATATTTTGTTGCCTCAAAACTAAAGGACCCTTGAGTATTGTTAGGAGTCAGCACATGATACAGCACAAGGAATACCTTAAGGTAACGGTGAGAACCATCACCTATCTAAGATACAAGAACACTCTTTTCAGCATTTGAAAAAACTGGTATAACATTGTTGGGTTATGATCTCCTAAACTTTACCAATATTAGTGCTTTCTTTGCAACAATTTAATTGTGATTGTTCAGTTATGATGTTCTGAGCCTAATATTTATGGTCTCACGTGCTCTACTCTCTACCTCTCTCTTCATGATCTCTGTAGAGTAACAAAATTATCTTTGGAAGGATTCGAATAGTAATGAAGAAACAACAACAAAAATTTTAGTTAAAATTTAATTGGTATTTGGCTGACCATACAATGCTGTTTCGGATATTGTCAACAACTTAATTAGTTTATAGTCCGTAAGTAATTTGTTGGACTTATGTCTGTCGAATTAGAAGCGATGATTAATCGTGTTTTTCCACAATTAGCCAAAGCTGCACAAACTTTAAATGCTGAAGTTCCAGGTTTTTTCGTCACTTTTACTGTAAGTGACACTAACCAAAGCACTTGCCATGCTTTTTAAATTATAACGTGCTTATAAACTATAGCTTTTTAATTGGAAACACAAGTTCAACGAATTGAATATTAATTTTTGTAGTTACCTATTTTTATTTCAATGCTAATCAGTTCAACAGATTATGTACGGACTATAAACTAAGTAAGAAATTCGAATATTTTCAAAGACCACTAATAATGGCTACTTGGCAATAATCGAAACAGATTTATATGCCCAGCCAAATTTCAATAAATTAACAAAAAAATTTGTTTGTTTTTTCAATACTATTCGAACCCTTCTAACCCTTCTTTTAAATAGTTTGTTTTCGTTATTAGAAGTGTCACTACCAACAAAAAAAATTAACATCATAATTTATTTATTTTGAAATAATTTTAATTATCTTCAAGATTCATTTGTTTTGTGCAATGTGATGCGTCTTATGACGTAAAGAATCAACTAGAATTTAGATACCACTGAAGATGTTGGATAAAAAACCATCGAAACGTCGGGTGAAAACATATAGTAAATTATATTTTTATTTGCATACCAGTCACAAGACCAGAGTAACCTAAATACAAAACATAATTAATTAAAAATTAAAAATTAAAATTAAAAATTAATTATCTTTATTTAGCAAAAACTTAAAAAAATGTTATAATATCAGTATTCAAACTTCACAACGATAATAAAATCAATTTTGGAACACTAACTCCAATTATTCAAATCTCAGATAACAAAAATGGAAATTTCGAATAATTGGTGAACAAAAACTTTTGATAATATCTACACGATGTTCGATTGATGTTAACAATGCTTGATTGAAATAGCAGAGGAATTGCTTTAAAAACGATGCAAGAAAGGATGAATACCAGAGGAAAGAAATATCATTGTCAGAAGGCAATTTGACATTTTGTGTCAGCTCACAGTTCATTCGTCAACATCAATCGAGCACGGAACCAGCAAATATGATGCACATACACATGTTACTACCTTTCACATTTCCATAAAAACGAAAAACGAATTCAATTTCCATTGCAAACAAAACGGTCACTTTTATTCCAGAGAATTTTATGAATTCTATAGCAAATAGTGGAAATTCTTCTATTTTATTTGCTTCTTCTTTTTTGTTTTTTTTTAGATTTTTTTTAATATGAAAACTAATAATGGTTTTTTGTCATTTTATAGTATAGTGAATGTTCATTCATCAAATATACGATTTTTTATGAACTTTTTCTTTACAATTTGCAGGTGGACTTGCGGCACATCGATGAATTAAATGGCACAAATGTGGTTGAAGTTGGTGTAGATTTATCAGAATTTTATACATCAGTTGAATGGGATATATTAGAAGTTCCTGCAGTGCGGTGAGTATATGAGTATATTTAATAGTATATAAATTTACATTTGAACATGAATATTGTGTTAAGTAAATGTGCATATCTTGCGTGTACTTAATGTGGTGTATGCTTATTTTTGGTAACTAAACAATAGCCTGCTTTATTTTATGTTGACACCATAAATTTGACAGCAGAATTGCCAAAATATTCCTGTGAGACCGAAACACATACTAAATTGCACACTTGTGGCATTTACCGAGACACTGAAAATTGCGAAAAACACGTTTCCTTTTGCAATTAGAAAATCGAAAACTGTTGACTTTAGGCTTATGACTTAATGAAATACCAACAACAATTACAACAACGACAAGTCGAAGAACAGTACTAACCAACAACATCACAAACCACTAAAAATCCATAGAAAAATGTATGAGAGACTACATGGAATTTAGAAGCTATTGTCCTGGCCACCAGGGTGCACTTCTGATTAAATGTACCAAAACTCACTGAGCTTTATTTGGCATTGTAGTTTAGTGCCTCATCTATATGGCTGCATATATTAACATGTTTATATATGTATATGTAATAAAGTGCTATGATACTAACATAATAAATGTATTTAGATAGATAGATGTAGAACGCTGTGTAGCAATATATACTCGAATGATGTGCTTTTATCTTATGCCGTTGGCATTTTGGCAAATATTTTGGCTGTACTGTGCTGTACTGTGCAGTACAGCACGTAGCACGCACCAACCAAAATGTACGTGTTGCCATAGAGAACAGCACTGGGTTTTGTAGATTCCTTAAGTATTTTATAGCTTTAATTTAATTTTAATGCTGTTAATTTAGGTATTCTCGGCAGCTTCAATTATAAAATGCAAATAAAAGGTGAGGTAAAAAGGAAATCATAAATAAGGTGCTGAAAAATTATTTGTCAACTTAAACGAAACATACTGCCAAAGAATTTCAAAGTAAGAGGACAAGAAAATAATTTAAATGCAAAGAAACAATTTTTCGAAAAATTTTTAAATTAATATAATTACTTAAGAAGGACAACAGAAACAATAAACAACAAAAACAGCAAGAATTTTCAAGTTTTTAATAAAAATATGTACAAATTCAAATTTCATTACTGAGGTTAAACATAATTTGATTTCCGCTCTTCTTATGATTATACCAACTCAATCCAAGCTATTTTGCATTACTTATATATTTTTAATAACAAAAACAAAAATGAAATCGAATAAATAATACAAAAAAATAATAAATAAAATGAAAAAAGAACCTACAATACAAACAAATAAAGTTTTTAAATTAAAAAACTTTTACATTTGTTTGTGGTAACCTTTCCTTTTTTTTTTGCAGGGATAATACGAAATCAAGTCAACATTAATTTCAGTTGAATAAAAGATATATTTCTTAAAACAAAACTCAAGAAAATTTTCAAATTCTTAGAAATGTGTCTCAGCATTTATATTTGTTTATCGCTAGTATTATCAAATGAATACTTGTATTATTAATATAAGTAGTCAACAGTAATCAATAGGTTAATATACTTGACTTCCTTCACACACGCCCATCAAATCAGAAATGAAAGTATCGCAGTTTCTCATAAATAAAGCAGCAGTAAAGTAAAACCAAGAAGAACATTTAATTGATTGCCTTCATTTCACTTCAACAGCAATGTTTTGCAGTATTTTTATTGTATATATACAGGGTATGTTGTATGAATCGTTGAAGATTTTAGAAATTTACAATACTTGTGCTCTAATAGGCTTTAGGCACCAACGAAACCTAATCTCTCTGTATCAGTGGTTCCTAACCTTTTTTGACCAAAAACCATTATGATAATTTTGTTTGTAGTACAGACCACAAATTTAGGAATAATAAAATGTATGATTGTTTTAAAATTATTTATGCATCCCTGGTATAACTTATAATAAATTGTATGAGTGCATAGATTCCTAATAAGGGAGGTCTCAGAAGACAAACTGTAAGCTATATATCCAAACCTGTTAAATTTCATTTGCGAACCATTTTTAACCATCTAGTTGAGTTAGGAACCACTGCTCTATATGAATGGTTGAAAATTCCAGAGGTTTAATTTCATGCAAACTACGACTGATTTGTAGAATATATCGATGTGTTCTACCCACCAGCGTCAATATAAGGATCTATTTGATTAAGAATAAGATATATTAGGAGTTTTTCGATATTGTTTTAGAAAGTAATATCCTTCTAGTTTATTCAATTCGGGGAATAATGTTTTGATACGCGATTATAAGATTATTCTTTCAGTTATGATGCACAGTGTTTGTCTAGTAGATCTCGATAGTGTTAGTTTTCAGTCGTGGCTTTCAGAGCTGTTCGTACGCTGTATTCATTTTGGAAATTGTCTGTCATTATACCAACTATGACGAACAGTGTTTCTCTTTCAGAGTTCAGGTGTGATAGATTTCCATCTGAGTATTAATACAGCTCTTTCAAAAACATTACTCGCACTAAGGAGCAAGAATATCACATCATCAATCCCCATCACTTAGAGTTGAGCTAAGTACTTAGTACTCACTGAGTACTTACTCAGGTAATATTTTCAGTAAAATTCAGTAAAATTATATTTTCGTAATTTAAAAAGAATTTAATTAATTTAAGAAGGAGAAACAAAAACTAAAAGAAACGAATGAAATACGTAAAATCTAAAAGAAATGTCATGTTTCCTTCACTTTCACACAATAGAATACTTTTCTCACGCACTTAATAGCTGCACAGCGGAGAAAGGCACCACCGACGCATACATTAACGTGCTTTCATCTTTGAATGAGTCTAAGAAAAAACCGCATTAGTAAGTCTATAAATATTTTTCATATTAAGACTTTTGCTAAAAGCATCTTAATCAATAATTTGGTCCTTGACTTGCCAAGAAACAAAAGTAGAAAAATAGAAAAAAAAATATATATGTACAAAGCTGGGATGTGAAAAAAATGAACTAAAAATATGCACGTAAACGTAATGACGACATCGTTTGGCGTCTGTCGCGACAAAAGTCAGCATTACACACGTACTTATGTCTGCCTGTCACACTTATTGAAAATGTTATACTACGTAAATGCGGACCTCTATGTGGACCTATATGTATTTTGTGTGTTGTGAAGGGTGATGCGTACTTATATTTATGTATATATGTATGTGAAGATATAGGTGAAAAGTCCGAATCACATTTACGTGTCCAACAAAGTGTGAACTTTTATTTTAAAATTTTTATTGCAAGTTTAAATTTATGTTTTTAATATTAAAGAAAATTGTTAGAAAATGCCATATAAACACTGCTGTAATAACTGAAGGAAGTTTAACAGCTTTAAACAATATACTTGCATACTCTACGCTATCGTAGACATATGTATGTACATGTTAATTAAACTTCTAAAGCTGCAATATCATGCGCTCTACTTTCCATATATAAAGGTGCAATGGCAACCTTTTCTTTGCTTTATATAACGCCACTGCCTTGCAAACATAGCTCAGTCATATCCTTGAACTACTCGTATTGTAGCTATAAGCACATACGTACACGCTTCTGTGAAAATACGAAAAGTGATAAATTACCAAAAGCACGAGGACATAAAGCTGACGTTAGCGTTGAAGTCAACATTGGCGCTGTCTCCATCTTTATTACCAACACCAACACATGATCAAGAGAAAGCAGCAACATAAGCAACCACAAAATCATACTTCTTGTCATTATTATTGTTATTGTTGTTGTCATCACAGTGGGCACAGTGAGTCAGAATGAAATTTTGACAAACAAAATTCGGTATTTTCTGAACTAGTACAAAAATAATCAAATAAAATTTTTCTGAGATATAGTTTTTGAAGTGAACTTTTGAATGTATTGTAAGTCCAATCTCAAACATCTTTTAAATTTGAACTTTTATATAATACTTTAATAATATAATTATATTTATATTATAAATTATTTTTATGGGAGCTGAACACTGGTTCCGTAAATCCTAGCAGGTCTCACTTAATATCTATTAAGTATACTTCAACAATGTTAATAAATTTAAACATAGTTAAGGATTGTACTATTCATATCCAAAAAGAGAATATTATAAAAAAACAAACAAAATATAACACTTTATGAACTCGTATTTAATAGATAAAAAAATTAAATTTGGTAAATACTTGTACTATATCACTAAGGTTCAGAAGATTTCGTGACACTCCACTTAGTGCAACAATCACCTCCCATACAAAGATTGCATAAATCTATTTTTTATTAAAAAAAAACATTCATGACATTTATAAAAATACAACAAGAAATGGAATAAATTCAACTACTAGTTTTTTAGTTATTTGCAATTCAATGAAATTTAACGAAATTGAGTTTTTACAAAAATTAAGCCAACTCCATTCATATCCTTAAGTGAAAAGGTAAAAAAAAACAGACATTTCTAAACCTGAACCTAAAAAGTGTATTTGAGTTCTATAAATTGTTCTTAATATCCAAATGTTAAAGGTTAATAAAAAAAACGAAAAATTGTCCATTGGACTCCATTTTATTACCTAATTCAAATGTGGTCTTTAATTAACCTTTTATAGAAACAAAAAAACCAATATATAATAACATATAATAACGTATTTAATTTATTTGCAATTAAAATTTCAAGCAAGTTGGTTAAAAACTAACGCAATTATCACAAATTATATTCATATGGACATCCTGAAGTCTGCCCAAAACCTACTTGACTATTGCAAAGTTGATTTAGAATCACTTTTATACATACAATATTAAAAACTTTGAGTGTCTGAAAAATTAATGTTAATATCATGTTTCCACTATAACTAATACCATTTATATTCATGAAACTCTGGTTTGGTCACTTCCATTAACATAAACTGATTTATGCATGCGAAATAGCTTGGTTGTTTACATTTTACATATAAAATATATGACTAATATTTCAAATTTAGATCATTTCTCTTGTGAAAAATTTGGTTTAAGAATCTTCGCATTCGACTTTTTT